TGCCGCCCGGCACTAGCAAGCATCTACGTTTATACCGATTGCAAAATGCACAAGCAATGCAGTCGAATTGCTTCTATATATGTATATATAAGCTAACCTCGATATTAAATTGTTTATTTGTTCTACAAATTCCAGTTCAATTGCACCTTCTTAACAATTGCATTAAAGTGCGATTGAGCTTGGCAATAACGCAAGAGTTCTCCCTTTTACGTTTCATGCAAATTGCAAGGGGATATATTTGAGTCGAATAACTTCATAAGAAATTCTAAGGCGGTAATTGGTAAGAATAGAAAAATTTTAATGTCCAATGTAAAAGTACGTGCAAAAGAGTGCGCGACAATCAACACAGCGAAGGTTTAACTTTAAAGACAGAACCTGTTGGGCTTGAGGAATTTTTGCGTATAGCCCCTGAGGCGGTCAGATTTTTAACGCGAGAGATTATCTAACACTGCTGAAGTGGCATATGAGTGTGGGCATGTGAGTCGAGACGCGAATCTCGTTGGGCCAGAGAAGTACAAGAAGTACAAGGGAGGCTGACGATGAGATGAACACTGCTGTGGGCCCGCTCTGAGTAGGAAGGGGTCCTAAGAGAGGAACATGGTAAAGTGGGGACCCAGTACAGGCTACGTTGACTGGGGGACTGAGGGACTAGGGGGTTGGTTGGCTGAGGGACCCTTCGGGGGCGTGGGCCATAGAGTAGCTAGCTTTCGGATGCCGTGAGTTCGGGACATGAGGGGCCCACAAGGTGAACGTCCAAGGGGCCAACCTGTTCGGGGTTCATGGCCCTCTAGTGACTAGCTGGGCCCTCATCCTGCACGTTTCATCAAGGGCCACTAAATTTCCTCTTTTATTAACTTTTTACCTTATATTTATCATATATGCGAATTTATAATATACGTCATTCGAATCACTATCTTTAACTCCTTGCAACACGTCATACTCATTTTTAAATACTTTCTTTGTATATATATTTCACTCAATCGCTATGCTGTACTCCTCTCTCTTACGGTCTCTTTTCTTCTCTTTATTCTTCCTGTTTTGCACTATTCTCCTCTTATACGATTCTTACACATTTGTTAAATTTACTCGCAATTCTGTATATTCTAGACTGGATGACCTTGGGTCATCGAGCTTTATTCCTCGAATTCTTATATTATATTGCTCTTGTCGGGTTTTCATAGCCACCAATTAAAATTCTCGCGCGATTATTGTCGATTCTTACTAAGAGACGCGTGGAATGCACTCTTGCACGATTAGGAGAGCTAACGGTATATTTATGGGTACTGTATTATCCTCTATGAACGTATCAGACATACGGACAGACCCCGTCATGATCGTAACATCTCGATAATTCCTATGGAGAATACCAAAGGATAACGTCGAGGTTCCTTGAATTTTCTATATAGCACCGCGAAATGCTAGGATGACTCCAGTTCGCATGGCTATGCAAAGAAGGAACCAGTTTCAGATCCTGCCTGTTCTATTATCCCGATGTCCTTAGGATTTATTTTTAGAGCATAGTCGCTCCTGCAGTTTTCACTCAATGAGGAGAGGAGCGCAACACGGTGATGCCAGGGAACTGCGAGGGAAGTGGGGG